GCCGGCGGCGGGGACAGCAGCAGCCCGGAGAATGACCTGGCTGAGAGTCGGTTTCCTCCTTCTCTTGCGCCGGGGATTCTCCCGAGCCGCGGGGAGAGAAACTGAACCGGGCATGTCCCTGCGACCCAATCCCAGCTGCTGGCACCCAGACCCGCACGTGGGGCCGCCGCCCTGACACTGAGCCCGGCGGCCGCCGCTCGAGGCTAGATAGAGAGCAGAGCCCGACGCAACCGAATCAATCCCCCGCTTTACTCCTGCCCCAGCGCCTCCCCCCAGCCTGTGTTTCTTCCGCCCCACTCATGTTGCCCCCCAAAAAGCACCAGCCCCGATTTGCACAATCATTTCGCCCTCCCCGCTCCAGGGCACTGAGCTAGGTCCCCCGCTGGCGTTGTCCGAAATATTCATGAGTTTTTGTCTGGGATAGGTCACAAAACTAGGCTGTGGCCGCCCATTTGGCTCCTCAGCTCAGGAGAGAATTCGTGTTTATGGCTAAATTTAACCCACATTCCCGCAGCTGCGGCCTCTGGATTTCACTGGGACAGGCTGGGGGTGTGAGGCAGAATAAAAGAGCAAAGCCATTCGTCTGCTTCTCGGGTTTTATTGTCATCTAACTCGTTCTTAAAGAAACCTCAGAAACACACCCAAACACTTGCAAATACAGCGGGAATTACACTCCTTTCTTCCTATTGGACAAAAAAGAATCTCGCTTCCTATTGGCTCTCATTCTTTACCAATCAGGGCAGGGGTCTTCACATTTTTTCCCCTACAGGATTAGGATTGCAAGGGTCTGTTTCAGATTGGGTTTGTTGGTTGTTTCTATTGGTGGAAGAGCAGTTTGAGGGTCTGTCAAGAGTTATTTTCGGTGCTTACTTCGGAAGCTGATTTTCCTGTGTATTGTGTCTTATCATTTACAGTTTAATAACAACCCCATGAACTCGACACTTACACATCCCTTCTAAACTCGTTTGAAAGAAATAATTAGTCCCAAATGGAGTGAAAGGAGAGGTTTCTCTATGGCATTTGAAAGATGGATATAATGGCTCCAGGAATCAAAGGGACTTATTCTCCTTCTG